TTTTCTAGTCTTAAATTTATTAATTTTTATTTTCATTCATTTACTTAATGTTTCACGTTTTTTTTATTAGTTACAAGAAAACAAATAAATATGATTTAGTGTATATTAAATGATTTTTTTAAACTTAAATGTTTGAGAAATTTCAAAAAATGCTACTTTTCAAGTGCCACTTTACAAAAATGCCACACTTTTGAAATCTTTACAAAAATACCACTTTTTCAAAATTAATTTTTTTATATTATTTATGTTTGAGTTAACTATATTCTATTAGGGTTTAGTTATGAAGGTTTAGGTCGGTTTAGGGGTCAAAACAATTTTTAGTGTTTAGAATTTTGAGATATAAGGTTTAAAAATCTATAATTAGTGACATTTTTGCAAATGAACACCTCTAAGTGGTATTTTTGCAATTTTCCCTAAATGTTTTCAAAAATATTGTTTAACTACAAATCATAAACACATTTTTAGTTCTTTTAATATATATATATGTCTATTTTTTCTATTCTTAAATTTATTAATTTTTATTTTCATTCATTCACTTAATGTTTCACTTTTTTTATTATTAGTTACAAGAAAACAAATAAATATGATTTAATGTATATTAAATGAATTTTTTTTTAAACTTAAATGTTTTCAAAAATAGTTTTGCCTATGTAGACATCTTAAATGGAGAGAAAACTCCTTCGTTATATAATAGATTTGTTACCTTTTTAATTATTAATTTTTTCTGGTTAGTTGGAAAATTCACCATTTTTTAAATCGAACTGCATTTTTTCTATAAAGAGAAAAAGTTGATTTATTAATTGTAAGATCACAAATACAAAATACAGTACACTTTTTAACATATCTGAACCAAACCGAATAGAATAAGTCCAGTTAAATGATTGTATATATAAAATGCATATATCGAGATTAAAAACCAAACTGCATGCATACTAGAAAATAGATGTAATCATATTACATGATAAATATTATTTGAATCATTATATATTTAAATTTATTTTTAACTAATACGAAAACAAATCAAACCATATTGTATTAAACCGAATTAGAAATCATTGTATAGTATGATGTTCAATTTCTGCAAATACTGATAAACATAAAACCGAAAATTGAAAGAAAAAAAGACTGAAATTGCCATCTCTAAGCAAAACCTTTAACACCTCAAACTATACCACTGTAGTTCTAACATAAAATTTGGCCATCTTTCTCTTATATTTGAATCCTCTCTTATATTTGAATCTTCATCTTGTAAAATTGCTCTTGTTCTAATTATATTTTGCGTGTTTGAAATTCTTCAAAGGCCAATACAAACAGAGGAGAAAACTAACCTGTAAGGCTGTAAAATGTAATCTCTTGTCTGCTTTTTCTTTCTTTCTGGACCACCTAACCTTGATCATTCATGGTTATGCAAACCATTTATTTTGTAGATCGAGTGTTGTATATATAAGAAGAGAATAAGGGAGGGAAGGATTTGAACAC